GAATTCACGGTGCGACGTCGCGTCGCTTGCTTTTCATATTTCACTCAACACTTGCCTGAGGTTACAACGCTTATTACCAACACGTATTATCATACGCCTTTATTGTATCAAATGTTGCGTATTGTACGGAGATTATGCAGCTGCTCAGTTAGGCATGGAATTAGAAAAGCAAGCGGCGCAATCGATCAGTGGCTTCATTCCACGCGGTGTATTCCCTTAGAAATAGTTTCGATCACAGTACTTGGGTGATGTAGCATTGTGTCTTATTGTAGTCATCGCGAGACTCAGTTATACGCAGTCATCGCGGCCTTCGCGAGCATGCAGTTGTACGACTGCTGCATTCAGACTTTTAACGTTACCTTTTCACGCTTTATTGCCAGCTCCTATTTCTAAAATAGGTATTCTTGTTGTTTGTCCTAGCATAGGGCGCATACATAGTCGGTCGTCCGACAGCAACGATCGCAAGTGTCGCACAGCATTGGGTGCGTATCGATCGCGACAAATGCGACACTTACGACCGCTGCTGTCGGACGACAGCAACGATCGTAAGTGTCGCAGATCAATACGCAGCTACTATTCCACACTACAATGGGACTTTCGAAATACCAGTCACGTGTTGTCTGGGTTTGCATTGGGTGACCGCGTCGCCTCCCCATGCGACCACGGTTTATGCGACACTTGGGGTCGTACGACAGTTACGATTGTTGCTGTCGGACGACCGACTATGCATGCGCCCATTCTCATTGTAAGTATTTGGACTTTTTTCTATTTGCTTTCTCTTATAGGTAGGAAAGGATTATGCTATCTTATGTAGTGACAGACACTCAAATTTTTTGCGGAAAAACAAGAAAGATCCGGCGGAGTATCGTCCTGATATTCTTCATCAGGTAAATATTTGCCGCTACTGCATATTTCTGGTATTATTTTCAGGTAGAATGTTCTTTGACGTTGCTGATGGATTTCCCACGGGGTTTTCTGATTCAACTTACCCTTCAGTTACAGTCATTGGTCTTCGGGTGGAAACACGGTTATCTAAAATATGTACCGGTGTATATGTAGTTTTTTATGTGGCGTTGTCGAATTGCCTCTCCCCCTGCCCTTAAATTGTTCTAAACTTCTCAGTTTTGCGCTTTGTTCCTTATTTTTCAAAGTCGTGTGGTCTTTTGCCTTTATGGGTAGTTCTTGCTGCTACTTACTATCAGTTATTGATCATGTTTTTTGCAGTGTTTGTTAAACCTGCTGGACAGCCCATTGAATCGAGCAGGACAACTGCAGGTGTTCTTTCGAACAAACAAGAACGTTCTGGTGCGGGTCAGCCCTCAATGCCGTATACCGCGTACATTCGACAGATTTTGTGGCCTAATGGGTTAGTACTGTTCATTGAACTGTTTTTATCTGAATATTATATATTTGGCTATAGTAAACCACACATAAGCTGTAGTTATGAATTTTCAACAGGTAGTATGGACCATTGTTGGTGGTTTAGTTTTCTTTTCGATGAAACATTCCCGCTCTATCTAAATTTTGAGTGCTTTCGACGACATCATATCTGTGATATTAGCTAATTTGCATCGACAATGTGGTTGACTGCAGGACTTGTAGGTGAAAAGCGTCGTAACAAAATGTGTGGAATTTCTGTGGCAGCAGTGGCCGTATATAGATACTTGTTTTTAGCAAAACTTTTATGATATTGGTTGATTTTCAAGTTACACGATGAATTCCGAAAAGGTGAATGTTCCGCAGCGATGGCCAACAACTTTGGTTCACAGTTGACTGCTTCAAAAAGCACTATATATGTGTTTGGGCACATGCAGCAACTTGTTTTCATTTCTAGATAAACTTGCTTTTTCTTTTGAAGTTTTGATTTTCATGACATTGTTTCCATATTGATTTGTCTTGATTTAAGTGCAGCTTCTTCACGTGGATATGGGATAGTCTCTACCCAAGAGGAGAACCGCAATAGAGGGAGCCGAGAAACAAATTGGTTGTTCGCGCAGCTGATAGTTCCCAGAAATTGCTAACGGTGAGTACTTTGAATTGTTGATGTCCTACTTGTTGTTCAAAAAAATTTGTGAGGGTTCTGCTTTAGGTTATAAAGAATCCGGTCTCAAACTATCTACCAGTTGGGAGCCGTAAGATATTGATGACGTTCAACACAGAAGAGTTGATATTACCGAACAAACTCATGTCGCCAGAGGAAGATGCACCACTAGTGGTTGCTATTGGAGGCATTGCAAAAGGAAAAGTGAGTAACAGTATATTATTAATCTAGATATTCTTATATCTTATGAGGCAAACGTCTTGGCATGGGTTTTTCGTGTGGTGGTCTTAGGATCAGCTTGGAATAAACCTATCAAAAATTGTCATTATTCACAAAGTCACTTGATTCTCCCGCAACATGTGGAGTAGCTAAAATTACTATTGGCTAATATTAGTTGGAACGCTGTGGAACATTGTCGAGAAGGCCGGCATAATAGACTTCCCCCGAAAAGAGTAAGCGGTGAGGTATAATTCTGGAAGATCTGCAATCTCCACATAAGTCAGCGGAAGGGGCTAGTATGTATAAGGAAGTTGTGCGGTATCCCGCAGACTTTTAGTTTTAGTGCTCCTTAACAGAGAGCTTGTTCTTGCTCACGCGTACAGGGGGTGTTGTCAGTCTGTCCATAATGACAGAAACCGTGTAGAGATGTACCTGTTCTACCAATTATATTCCGGTTAGTACGAATTTGGCTGAATAAGGGCGTGTGTTAGATGCTGTTGACGTAAAGAACCTTTAGTATTGATCACTAATATCTTGAAGAAGCTGGTGTGAGGTTTCTCCTGTTTGAATACTGATACTGTAAATAGAACGAAATAGACATACTTTCAGCCCTTCTCCTTGCCGTTCTTTTACAAGAAAGGCGCTTCAAATCCGACGCCTTTTACCCCTACACTACATGTTATATCCAAACAATACGTTGTGGTGGCATATAAGTGTACCACTGGGAGCTAATGGGTTTTTCTCTTGCGTTCTCCTTTCAGTACCTCAGCTATCTCGGAAGTTGATGAGTTCGACTCTAACGAGTTGGCACTAATTCTTCGGCATGCTGATAGTGAACCTTACCCTTTGATTCAGTACCAGTAGTCGTGCTAGGAATCTCTGCAAAGGAAAGCTCCTAAAATCTCACACAGCAAAATGTTTATTAGAAGGCATACCGTCTAGTCCGGAATTGCAGTCACTTGCAACGACGTAGGGCTGTTTAGGATTACAAATTCATGTACTGACATGACCTTATGGCATTGAGCGGGAGCTTGTCAAGTTGCTGCTCTCTTTATTTCTTATACAAGTGGTCCATCTCTTGAAGTGCTGAGATTCGAACTACATATAAGACGCTCAGTGGTGCAACGATCCAAGGTTATTTCGAGTTAGATGTTTGTTGTAACATCTCGTGATACATATTAAATGGGTTGTGACATGTAAAAAAGGTGGATTTTGGCGTTGATCACTCATTTTTGGGAGGCGCCACGCGTTCTACTTCCATTCAGAATTGTAGTGCGAAGCGTAGCGACTGCGATTTGGCTTACTCACTGACTTGTGGGTCCAGCCGATGTACAAGTCAGTGTTTTTA